ATCAAAAAAGTACTCCAGAGTGTTGTTCAGCATGGGGGTGAGTAGAAAATGAAGGCTAATCATGTTTTGGGTGTACTATTCCTTTAAGTCCTAGAGCAACATGAAAATTAAAGATAAACATGACATTTAGTTTCTGCACACCAAACATCAGTGCTAAAATGAACAGAAGGAGGGAAAACACAACTATCTGCATCAAAAAGCAGAACATGTTATAATCGGAGTCAAGTACTGACTTATATTACTGTTATCTGCTGATAGAAATATCAAACATTTGGGAAAAAGAATCAGTCTTTCCTTATAACAACAAACAGCACATTTTAATGTAGCTCTACCAGCTTCACCAACAACAATATTATTGGTAACCGGAACAAAATGTACAATAGTCCAACTGCTGTTTATATTATCTATACACCCGCATCATGAGTGACGTATCTAGCATGGATTATAATAGCTGCTGTCCTACAGCTGGACTCTTTAAATGTGTTTCATTAGTAATTAAGCGTACAGCACACAGTGTTGATGGAAAAACAGACAATTATGCAACCTGAGGCGGTGCAGAGCAATGTTGTTGATTTGTTGTTTATGTGCACTAGAAGAGCATAAAAGGAAAGTTTAAGTTTTCCATTTTGGTAACTGGTCGACACTATCTTGAGGAACGAGAGTTGGTAGCATGGATAATGAAAGAGCTGAGGGGGAACATATAGATTAATAGGTCAGGGATTTATGATGTGCAAATAATGAGACCATGAAACAACAATTTTTTTATTTTAACACGCCATTTAAACTGGACAAGAACTAAAAATATACATGAGGCCATTGTGGAACTGGTTGTCACTACCCGATCCGTCCTGGAAGCACGATCCATCCAGCACATGCGCGGACAGATGTACATCCAGGTGTCCATAAATAATGTAATTATTAGGCAGGGGCGGATCCAGGATTTTCAAAGGGGGGTGCGCACCTAAGGGTCATGGGGTCAAGGGTCACAGGTCAAGACAATGTGAGGCTAAAAGACCAAAGAATACCGCGCGTTCTGGCTGGAAACGCGCGGTGACGTAAAAAACATGCACTCGCGTAAAATATTTGGAATGGTTGGAACTGCGCGTTATTGTACATGCGATTATTGGCCCAATCGGCTTGCCATATCGCAAAGGGGGGTGCGCACGCCCCCGCCTGAATCCGCGCCTGTTAGGGGTGGAACGGTTCACAAAATCCACGGCTGGGTTCGGTCCACGGTTTCATGGTCACAGTTTTCGGTCCAGTTCGATATAAGTTGATAGGAAAATCTATTATGTCTTGTATAATATAACACGTGTTGCACAATGCTTTTTTTTTTTTTTTTTTCAACAAA